ATTGCCTTTGCTACTTCAGCCCCATATGCTGAAGTTACGCGGAAAAGTGGGTACGCTTGCAATATTTTTTGCAAAGCGGGCACAAATTAAAACGTGACCCAAAAAGCGGGTATAGATGCAAATTCCCCCCTAAATTGAGTTGTCGGAAGAGGAGGTACTATGTAGATTGACATATATTGGCCCATTGAGTGCCTCCATTGTAGAAATGACACGAGTTAGCCACTCTAAAGGACTGCTATTTAGGAAATTAATTAATATGTCCTGAATTTTAGCTTTTTAATTTAATTTTTAGGACTCGAGTGTCCTAAATTGTCCTGAAAATAAGATTTTTAGTTCAAATTTTCGGGACAGAATATATATTAGCTAATTCCTAAATAGCAGCCTTAAAATAGCTATTTGTGCACTTCTCCCGCCTCCGTCTCCTATTAGCCCAACCTTTTAAGAAATAGTCTCTTTTGGGGCAAGTGGGTAGATAGCTGATTTTGGGACCCCTATTTAAGTCATGACTTGAGTTCATAAAAATAGCTTCACACATAAGTGATTGAAGCTTCAAAAATCCACGTATGATGTCACAAAATTTTGTCCGAAGTTTGGCATTATTGATTGTGTGTGCGGGTAAAATCGAGGACAACGTCTACCCCGATTCCTCGATGAGTGAACAAAGGGGTGCACGGATCCGGTAGATTGTAGTCGAGGTCAAAGACCTTTCGTATCGAGACCCCGGAAGAGCGAACAGTATATCCAACATCGGACATGGTAAAGTGACGCGCCCAAGTCGAGTGTAAGTTCTAGACCTCGGGGGACACGGTGAACTGTTATGCATGACGGATAGAGGCACGTGATACCCGCCCTCAACCGGATATCACGACGTGAATCTCGCTCGATGTCGATTATGTATCAACAATTATCGGGAGAAGAAGATTTTCACATTTTTTAGACGTATATTAGGACTGAAACTCTCCTACTATATAAAGGGGAAGTTTTTCTTTAATCTGACACATTGTAACACGCATTCCAAGGCAATAAAGTTTGTTTTTGTTCTCTAAGTTATTGTTGACAATTTTATTCACTAGTTCTGTTCTTTATTCACGACTTGACTTGAATCGAGGGCATAATCGAGGACAAGCTCATTGTTCAATTTAAGATTAGTCCTTGCTTTAACAGCGCAAGTGGTTTGATTGTTTGTTTCATCTTTAATTGGTTTTTCTATGTTTGTTAATTATTCGTGTTGAATTAAATAATGTATCCTTTAAATCGCATACAAATTCAATTGTTACCCAATATTAGGGTAAACAGTTTAGCGCCCATCTAATCCATAGTTTGTCATGTTTATGAGCAAGGTCCCAACATATTTTTGCGACATCAGCTTTGTTCCATAATTTGATGTTGATTAGGATTTAATCCTCCCATGGACTTTGGAGAGCATACTCTTTCCCATGCTACCAGTGCTTTCCTTGTGATTGTGTTAGTTCTAGACCAGACAAAGTTCCTACAGTAAGCCTCTATAAGTGACAGAAATTTTGAAGGTATTAGGAATAATTGAGCCCAATACCCCAAAAATAACTGATTGTACCAACTGAACCCTGCCTGCATAAAAGAGTTTTTTGACAGTCCGGAAAGTGATTCTAATTGTAATCTTGTCAACAAGTGGCTTTCACTGGATAAGGTTCAGTGTCTTTGTTGATAATGGTACACCAAGGTACTTGAAAGGGAGGTCTCCTTAGTTGAATCCTAGCTTAGCTAAGATTGTTTCTTTCTCCTTATGTTGAACCCCTCCAAAATACACACAACTCTTCCCTATATTAGCCTGAAGACAAAAAACTATGGAGAAGTGAAGAAATCATTGTTGCATTGCTGCTACTATGGCATAACATGCTTTAAAGTTATTCACAAGAAACATTAGTTATAGCTCTTACCGTCTTATCAATACAAAATTTTCTTATAACAATATTGGAACCAACAACAATAATCACATAACCAAGAAAGATAGCCCATACCATAAAATGGTAGTATAATAGTTAGGTAAACATGTTTGATACTTAAAACAGTTTACTACGAAGACTCAAGTTCAATTTCCAGCGAAGACAAAAAATATTAATTATTTCTTTCTATGTCCAAAAATTGGTAGCTAGAGTTACTTGGTACCTGTTACTGATTGGAGGTAGCAAATATCCCGTAAAACTAGTTGAGGTGCGCGCAAACTGACCTCGACGCCACCATTATCACAAATGTAATCTTACTATGAAGCCTCAAATTACACAAGCAATTGTACTAAGACCGCCTACCAGTATGTCTAATACATCCAACTTATCAACTTTGACAGATCTTTTGTTACCAAGAAAAAGAAAAAAGAAAAAAAAAACTTTGACAGCAATAATAGTGGCCAGATTTACAGTACCAACAAGGGCTTGTTTCTTCCATTGTAAGAATTGCCTTGGATTCATTATTGTCTAAAGTATTTTCAGAAGTTCCTACTTAAAAAGTTATCTTTTTTTATAAGAAAATTATTTCGTGTAAATAAGGTAAAAATTTATGTATATACAAAGTTTTGCTTTAGTGAAAAGAATTCAAATATAAAGATTCAAGCCGAAACATAAATAAAGATTCCACCACTTCTAATCAAATATAATTGATGAAAAAACATACTTAAAAAGAGAAAGAAGCCAAGGCCACAAAGAATACTCAAAGAAACACTTTTAAACTATTGAATAATTCTCTTCATTGTACTGGGATTTATCCATCTCATCCACACACACAATTTTTATCAATACATCCTTCTATTTTAGCCATGTCTTCTAAAGTCATATTTTAAAAGGAGGTTTTTTAAACCCTAATCTCAAAACTACAAGATGGAGAATTCCAAGTAAAGATTAAATGAAAAAAATAATTTGGCTTTAATATTCACTCAATATTATACTGTTATTATAATTAGTTTTCATTTTACTGTCAAGCTGACTCTGTGGCCCAATGGATAAGGCGCTGGTCTATGAAACCAGAGATTCTGGGTTCGATCCCCAGCGGAGTCGTTTGAGTTGTATTAAATTTTTGATCTTTTTATTACAATTTTTTTGTATTGCAGCTATCTTATTTTGGTTATAGTGTCTTTTATCTGTAGTTAAAATATGTTTCCCGAGAATTTCTCCTCAGTTAATTTCCAGTGTTGCTTTCACTGCTCTCCTTATTTCCTTGATTCAAGAAGCAATTCATAAATGTTGTTCCTTTCCTTATATTTCAAGTGAAGATGTTTCACTTGATATAGAATTTAAGAAATTATAGAAGATATTTGACATGTATATCAAATTTAGCAACAATTATTTAGTAGCAATAAATAACTGACAATAATTTATTCTTAGAATCAAATATTAAGGATAAATCGACCTTTTGATAATAAATATAATACTACTTATTCATTCCCGTTTCTTTTTATGTGAGTCTATTTGACTGGTCGAGATAATAAAAAAAAAATAAAGAATGTTGTAACTAGGGGTGTTCATGGTTCGGTTTGGATCGGTTTTTTCCTAAAAAGAAACTAAACCAAGTAAGTCGGTTTTTCAAATATTAGAACCAAACCAAACCAATTAAGTCGGTTTTTTCTCGATTCAGTTTATGTCGGATTTTGTCGGTTATTCGGTTTTTTCGGTTATATGTCGATTTTTTCGTAAATATAAGACATACACTACCAAACACATATTCCAGCGACCACATTTTCAACGTAACACTATCAAATCAATTGCTTGAGATATCTATTATTTACTAAAATATATTGATGATAATTGAATCAAATAGTGATGAATAATTTAAGGACTCAATTAAAAATATATTTTTTTTAAACATGAAATGGATTCTTACACTTAACAAAAGAAAACTACCAATCAAACTAGAATATAAAGGTAAAAAATTGTACTAAAAGTGCAAAGGATTAACATTCACCGTAAAATTTTTTAAACTTTGTATAAAAATATACATATATATAGGTGTAATAATAAATTTGAAATAGCTACTCCTATAGTCGGTTTGGTTCGGGTTTTTTTGTTATTTTTTTATTAAATCCAAAACCAAATCAAATTTGATCGGTTTTTAAAATTCAAAACCAAAAACCAAACCAAACCAAAAAGTATCGGTTTTCTTTGGTCGGTTTGGTTTGGTTTTCGGTTTGGTTCGATTTTTCGGATTTTTGTGAACACCCCTAGTTGTAAGTTGTGACATCAAATGTGTCATAATATTTATGTGACTATAAGACTTTTGAAATTTATTATCTAAATATGCCATAGTATTCGTGTGATTACAAAAAATTCCCATTAAAAGTAAGATAGAACATTTCAACCTAAAATAATTTTAAAGTTAAGAAATGAAAGATCACTCTTCCCGGAATATACTAAAAAGAATATATGGTCAAATAATCTAGGATGTGATGTTTTTTACGACTACAGTTGAAAGGAATGACCACTAGGGCTGATGTAGAGACGACACTAGGGTTCGACAGAACTTGTAGATTTGGCAAAAACCTCATTTCTGTCTTAAAAATTTATTTAATATTTAGAAATTTTACATTTACTTTTAGAACTCTCAATGACTATTCTAAGTTATGCTAAGCTTCATCTCTAGTTACCTGATACCTATTGCTGGTGAGAAGTAATAGATACCTAATGAAACAATTACTTAACATCCTCATAGCAGCAGGCTGATATTTTAACCAAAGGACTTACCAAACCTTTAACAATCTTATTTACTTTCCAAGCTAGGGATGAAAAACATCGCCATCCCCTAACTTAAAGGGGGGGGGGGGGGGGGGGGTTGGTGTAAAGAAGAACATTGTGTCTACCATAGTTACTTGACTGAAGTTACATTTTACCATAGTTAATTAGCAGTTACATTAGCTGTATTGAAGTTAGTCATTACAAGCCACATCTACAGGGAACACAGAGTTAACGCCTTTTATCGCAACGAACATACAATAAGGCCCTTTTGTTGTATATGACCACTTCTTAACAGATTCTTGTGAAACATGTTAATGTATCAAATATTCAACCCCTCTGAATTACAATACCAGAGTGAAAAGGTAAGCACCTTCCTTAGATGGCCAACAAAAGAAATACAATTTGTATTTAAAATCTTCAATTGTACCAAATAAAGGGAAATCATTTGTTTTCAGCAATTCAAAATCAGTATAGAAATAATGATTGTAACAAGTGTAATAAAGATCAACCGAAGTCCTCAATTCCCATCTCTTGGCAGTTTGTTAATTCCTTTTTGTTTGATTCCAACTAGCTAGTGCTAATTTGGTGTCCATTCCAGCTCCATGAACAACCAAACTGAGCAATAAATCAGTAGAACAAGAAAGAATGGCAGAAGCCTTGAAGGCAAACACCATACCATTTTACAGATCTCAAGGACATGCTCTTCTCGCCATAAAAACTTAGTTGTTCTTTTTTATAAGAAAGAAATAAAGAAAAAAAACTAGAACTAGTAGAAAAAAACAAATCTCTTCCACTCACCTCGGATTTCCTCCCTTGAGGTTTGAGACTCTCCCTGGCAGCCTGCATGATTTTTGACCAAAAAAAAAAAAAAAATTTTACCCCTGCCACCTCCTTCGTCACTATCAATTCCAACACTTTTCTCTACCTCCCACCACATATTATCACAGGCGCTTTGATCTCAAAGGCTTTAACAAAATTCAAAGGCAATTTTAAAATTAAAAAAAATCCCTAGTTACTAATATTTCCTTCAAAAATCTGGGCATGATAATATGTATGGACAACATGCACCTTTTTTAAATTGAAAAGCTAACAATACCAGGCAGTTAAAATAATGGTATGATACAAAGCTAACAATACAAACAAACTTTATCCATGAAATTCATACCACCGCATGTGGAACGATGTAAGGTTGTGAAGGAAGATGACTAATTTCCAAGTAATTATGCCAAAGAATACAATGGGAAGAAGAAAAGAATCATATTCCCATGCCAAAGGTCCCGCCCAAGTAAACATCTAAAAGTTATACAGCTACCAGATAATTTCAGCTAACGACGACACAGAACACTGAATCTATTGATTTTGTGGTTTATCACGTAAATAAACTGCTACAAATTCCCACGTCAGTACTGTTAGGAAATAGAAGGTTGACTGCCGAGAAAAATACAAGAACGTGGAGATACCACATGCTCCCACTGAGCAAGTTCCGAAATTTTAACTAACCTGAACTCTCTCATTATGCAGAACTTTAGTTGTTTATCACGTACGAATAGATGCAGCAGAGACTTCACTTTCCTTTCTCCTTACATTTTGAAGCAGCAGCCCATTTGAAATAACCACAATTTGCTTCAGGATTTGATGCAGGTCCCTGAACAGAGAATGTCGGTTTTGCAAGAAAATTCAGGATGACAGATGGATTAATGTACAAATCTCTTATTAGACATAACTTCCCCATTCCTGGGGCTGCTGCATGAAAAGATTTGGTGAGATTACCACTTTCCTATTGCCAAACAGAATTACAAGTCTAGATCATAAAAAATGCAGTTGCTAAATCAAAAGATGATATCAAGCTAAACAGATTAGGAAAGAGTGCAAGTCTCACAATTAGCTCCACGATACAGACAGAAACACTAAGATTACCATACCGAGAAAAACCCTCATCCATTTCTTTTTTACCAAGTAAAGAAGTAACTTTATTCAATAGTACCCAGACACAATTAGCTCCAAAATACAGACAAAGTTTCCAGTATTTTTCTTCTTTTTTGGGGGAAATATCAAGCAATTTTTCTACTTCCAGATCATAAACCAGCTGAAATTAATATTCTAGTTATCTCCATTTCGCAATCTGCCACAGTTGCCTCTTATTGACTACCCGTGTATGCATATCAGGGATTTGTTCTAGCCATTTAACCTGCCAAAATCTTGTTTTCTTCCCATCAGCCATATTTGACAAGATAATAGAATTCATCCTAAAAGCTTTTATTATCTCTCCACAGTGCTACCCAATTTGATATGTTAGCAGGTAACAAGTGCTATGAAAAATATATTATAGGTCTATGTAACACAACTTTTTCAAGGTCACCAAAAAACTTCTCA